CTACAATGACCCTGGAATCTAAACCCTTGCAGCAATAAGAATGTTCATTCTTTTAGTCTTTCATTGTGAAGAAATCAGACCTAACTACCCCTGAGGAATTGAGGTGGCAGCAATGACTTGTATCCTGAACTTAAATGACTTGATTTTTTTCCAAAAGTGGCAATAAAAATGTATTTGGTCATTATATACTGAAAATGATCCTCTTTGTCAAATTATCATACATTTGTAGCATACTATGTTAAATTTGAGAAGTCAAATCAAACACAGACTTCAATTTCAACAACTCAACTAATAAGGTTGAGTACTTTATAGTATGTATTTTGACCACATGGACAGCTTTTTTGTGACATATCTGTTCAAATCTCTTGTCCATTTCTTTATTGAGTTTTCTTACATTTTCCCATTGATCTGTAGTACTTCTCTACATTTTCAAGATGACAGCCCTTTGCTGACATTATACATTTCTAAATAGATCCCAAACTGTGACTTGCATTTTTATCTTCTTAGTGATGATTTTAGATATATAAATATTGTTCATGCTATTACTTTTCTTTATGAATACCACTACTTGAATCATTTTTAAATTTTTTACCTATTAAAATAAATATACTTGCCTTTGAACCTTCTAGAATACTAACTATCTTTTACATTGAGATCTATAATTGGTCTGACATTGATTTCTGTGTATGCTGTGAGGGAGAGCCCAATATTCAACTCTTCCAATTGTACATTCAATTGGCCCAGATCAATTTATTGAAAAAACTGCTCCACAGTGCCAACTTTGTCAATGATCAAATGTCCATATGTACATTTGTCTATTTTCATATTTTTACAATAATAATCTTATATTGTATGAGATTTGTTAGAAGTCTTCCAGGTTTGATCTTTTAGAATTTGTTTTAACTGTAGTTGGCCCTATGCATTTTCAGATAAATTTTAGAATCAGTATGTTAGTTTACAAAAGAAAATTATCTGCTAAAATTTTATTAGGATTATATTAAACCTACAGATCCATTTGGGCAGAATTTATATCTCTATAATATTGAGATTTTTCAAACAATTATCAAAATGTAGTCTCCATTTATCTAGTTCTTCTTTAATTTCTCACAATACAGGCTTATAGTTTTGTTTCTGTAAAGATCCTTCATATACATCTTTAGATTTGTTCCTTAAGTTGTTAATGTTTTCTGATGGCAACATAAGTTATATTGCTTTAAAATTATTCCTGGTATACACAATTACATTTTGTTGATTTTTTATATTGATCTTTTATGCAACAACCTATTGCTCATATACCTTATGTATGATATCATATTTTACTTTAAATGCTTTTTTGCATTGCCTAGAAACTCTAATACAATGCTGAATAAAACTGGTGTTTTATTCAAAAACCCTCATCTTCTTCTCCAACCAAAAGAAAAAGCTTTCAACATTTCAGTGAACATTTGCAATAGTTTTTGTGTTAGAGTGAATTTTTTACCATGTGAATTATTTGGTTTTCTTCTAGTTCACTACAATTTGTGTCATGAAAACATGTTAAATTTACCTAAATATTTTTCTACATCATTTAAAAATATTATAGGACTTTACTTCTCTATTCCTTTAATATCTTAATTACCAAGGAAACTTCACCCATGAGGTGATCTAGGCCTGGAAGGTTTCTCATTTTGTTTTGTTTTTGTTTATATGTATGATTGTTTACTTGTTGTGAAGCAAGAATTTCAATTACAGACTATTTCATTGATATGAAATTACTCCAATTTCTATCTTTTCATGTGTCATTCTGGAAAATTTTGTTTTCCTAGAAATTTGTCATGATTCATCTGATTTTTTAAATTTACTGTCTTACATCTGCTAATCATATGCTCTTCTTAACTTCCAATGTCTATACAACCTTTAGCAATGTCCCTTTTCAATCCTGACATGTTATTTGAATGACATCTTTGTTTTTAGGTTCTGTGTGGAATTTGTTTATTTTATATTATTTATTGTATTACTCTTTACCAACCAACATATTTGGTGATTACTGGTGACTTTATGGATTGTCTACATCATTCTACTTCATTAATTTGTGATCTAATCTCATATTCTTTTCCTTTTCCTATCTTTATTTTCTTTATCCTTACTCTGCTGTTTTTTATGTAGCTTCATAAAAAGATGCTTTGGACTACTGATTTTCAGGCTTTTAAAAGCATTTTCTAATAAATACACTCAAAAGGTATAACTCTCCCTCTTATTCCCTAAATCACATATGTTTTAATGTGTTATCATTCTGTACAAAATATCTTCTAATTATTCCTTGACCAATTATTTCTAAGGAGTTTATTAATTTTTATATTAGGGTTTTTCTGATTTTTTTGTGTATAATCACCAAGAACTCACTTTTGGGTTCATTTCACTGTGATATGTTACTCTGTAGGTTTTTAATTCTTTTTAATCTGTTGAGACTTGAGTTAAAACCCAGCATATGGTAAATTTTGGAAAACTTCCATAAGTACTTAGAAACAATGTGTATGCTGCAATTATATAGTTCTGTGCTCTCAAATATCAAAACCAAACTGTTAGTTGTGCTACTCAACCTTTGATATTTTTGTTTTTTCAATTTACTGATCTTGTGTCAATTACCAAGGGAACTGGATTAAAAATACTGTACTATGATTTGTTCTGTTTTATTCTGTCAACTTTTACTTTATTAATTTTAACATTGTATTATAAGGTCTACCTAAATTCAGAATTACTATATGTTCCAGGGAGACACTTGGCTCAAATTCGTACTTGTCTCATTTTAGCACAGCTGTGCCAATTTTCTTTTATTTGGTTATTAGAAGACATATCTTCCTTCTATCCTTTTATTTTCAACTTTTCTAAATATCTTTATTTCAACCTTTTCTAGGAAACAGATGACTAGATTTTGTTTTTATATTCAGTTCAAAACCTGTTGGCCTTTAATTGGAATATCGTTCTCTCACTTTAGTAAACTTTGATTTCCTCACATCTATATGTAATCATCAAGTGTTCTGTAGTTAAATGCACCATCTCACGATATCCTAGTTGACACACCTACTGTTCCTTTTCCATGTCTTTCTTGCCTTCTTCCAATTCCACGGAGAACTTGTCACCATCCTCATTTTCCCATCTATTCCCTTGCTAGATATACAAAGATGCACTTTTATGCTGGTTGTTACTTAATAATAAAATCTCAAACCCTTACCTATTAATATGTAATATTAGTTTATCAATTCCCATGTTATATGAGGATTTGAGGTTTTCACACCCACTCATCTCTCTTCCTGAAATTCATGCCATCATTTTCATGCATTTGAATTATATGTGTATTTGAGCTTCTATTATTATCAGACTTTTATAAAATAATTATTTAAATTTATGCTTTTTTATTTCTCTATATTCTATCAAGTATCTAGGACTATTTTTCTTCTACTTCAATAGCATTTATTTTATTTATTATTTCCTTTACTCCCGATCAGCTATACTCAAATTCTCTAGGTTCTTGTTTTCTAAAAATGTTTTTATCTCACTTATTTTTTAAAAGTATATTTCACTGGGTATAATTATAGGCTGGTGATTATTTTCTTTCAACCATCTAAAAATATCATGCCTTCTTGATTTCATGCTTTCAGTTAAGAAATCAGTTGTTAGTATTGCCCCTAAGAGAGGGAACATGCCTTTTCCCCTCTAGCTGCTTTTAAATTTTTTTCTTCCTGTTTTCAGCAGCTTTACCATGATATCTCCTAAGTTTCTTTGTACTTATTCCCTTGGTGCTCACAGAATTCTTCAATCTGTAGCTTGAATCTTCTGTCTTGTCTGAGAAACTCTTATTTATTTCCCAAAAGAAAAAGTCTAATAATCCTATCTATTTTTTTCAAAGAATGTAGAAATCCAGGTATATTTTTGAAAGTAGAGGTAGCAGAAGAAATCACAGCTTAGTGGAAAACTGTTCTTCCTTTAAACATATAAAGTAATGAAAAGCTAGAAGTTCAAAAGAATGTATACTGTCTTAAAATATTCATTTCCCAGATTTTACAAAGGGAAATAAATACAATAATTCTATAATAAATTCTATATTAAAGTTTATATACTCATAAAATCAATAAATGAAAAATAAATTAACAATATTTCAAACATAAAGAGAATGCTATATATATAAATAGGTAATTTATTAAACAAGAATCAAATGACTACATAAAATAACACTATTCATAGCAGTAATTAGAGAAATGCACATTACAATATCAGTAAGATATTACTCATACCTACCACATTGACAAAAGTAAAAATCCTGATAGTTGGTGACAACATGAAGACACAAAGACACTCATACCCTGCTGTTGGAAGTATACATTACCACAATCACCCGAAAAGCAATTCAGCAACATGCAGTCAAGTTGAGGGTGTTAATACCCTCAGACACAGCAATTTCACTTTTCAGTGTATACCCTAAAGAAACTATTGCACACGGTCACAGGAAGAACAGAAGACATATATTGCAGCATTGTTGATAACAACAAAAAAGGAAAATTGAACCAAATATCATACGCTTTTTACTTCAGAGGAAATTAGATGATGAAACCAAAGAAATATTTTTTATATTTGCGAATATCAATAAAATATGAGTTCAAAGAAGAACAAATCCTAGGATAAATTCTATCAGAGCTCAGTTACAGTGTTAAATAAAATTCCTCATCTAAAATTAACATGATATAAGCACTTATCAGTATAAGTAATGCAGGCAAAATGGTATTTCTGTGGGATTAGAAATCATCTTAAAGTGAATCATTTATATAAATGATGGCTACACAGAAAAGTTATTTATGTATTTTATGTTATTGCTACATAATAACATGTTGTTAGTTGGTATAAATATGGAAAAAAATCCAAGAAGTTTTCTGTGAAAATATTTGGTAAATGCCACCACAACACAAATATGAAATACAACAAACACCAAATCTTCTCCTTACCATGCTTCTGCCCCATCTACTCACCAAGTCTTAGGGTTAACTTCATACTTATAAAGGTCATCTACCAATCCATATTTGTTGCCTGGCAATGCTTTATAGCCTCCATGAACATAAATGGACTTAGTTATCTCATCATACACACTTGTATGCCCATATCCACCTTGCACAATAGCACCTTTTGTTTCTGGAACAAGCCAAGTGTTTGACGCTATAATGGAAAGAAAATAAACCATAGGTGTTTAAAAATACAATTCATATATCACCAAAACGATCCACAAGTTAGTTTTAATGACACATTTTTATGAGTAGATACTGTATACTTAATAGTTATTTAGTATTACTTAATAGTCATGAAATGTATTAAAAATGTGCTAAGTGCTACATTAGATACAAAGTAACACTAAAGCTGAGTAACACTTGTCCTTCGTTAGAGAAATTTATACTCTGAAATACTGAAAATCCGAATTTCTGTGTGCAAGAGAAAAGGGAAATTTGTCACATTTGAAAAAATTATCATTATTTCACAAAAGAAAAAGTCTAATAAATTGCATCTTTATTCTTCTACACATTTTCGGATTCAAATATAAGCCTAAATAAACTATTTAGCAAGTATTTTATGAGAGCCTACTATGTGACTAACTTTTAATTAGCCACTAATAGTACAAAAATAAAAATTATATGATCACTGTCCTTAACTAAAATTAACTCAGCAAATTTTCAACAAATGCTGGTCCTAAAACTAAATTTCCAAGGCTCTTGACAACTGTGTTATTGTTAGGATCCACCAATTTAACTACAAATAAGAGATTAGAAGACAAAGGAAGAAACATCTTCTTATGTCTCTAGAAGCAATAAAGGACAGATGGCAAACAGAAGTAATGGCAGTGTTGGCTTCATAACACTGAGTAGGGGTATTTCCAGCTTAGGGACAAAAGTGGCACTTGCAGTAGCTCAGGAGCTGATGTGATCACAGGCTCCAGCCTTGCTGTATTTCAGCTTCTAGATTTCCAGGTGATCCCACTACCTTGGGTATCCTTAGCCCTTCTAGCATCTGTGTAGTAAATTCTCTACATTAAATTCCACTCTACTTGCTGTATTTAGCAGAGGCACGTACTCCCTATTGCTGGTTCATTTATAGAGATAACCATATGCAAGGCATACTTATAAGAACATGCAGATAAAAAGCATGTAGTTTGTTGGCCTTAGAAAATTTAGATGATAAAGAGCAACTATAAAGAAATCTGTCATTTGGTTTTTTGTTTGTCTGTTTTGGGGTTTTGGTACCAGGGATTGAACTCAGGTGCTTAACCACTGAGCAACAACCCCAGGCCTTTTTTGTATTTTATTTAGAGACAGAGTCTCACTGAGTTGCTTAGGGCCTTGCTAAGTTGTTGAGCCTGGTTTTGAACTCGCAATCCTTCTGTCTCAGGCTCAACTGCTAGGATTACAGGCATGTGCCATCACACTGGGCTGTCATTTGTTTTTAAATGTACACCCAGACCATAACTCTATCATACCTCTATCTTGTCACCTAAACTTTGACATCATAGAGAGTTCACTGAAAATACCCAAATTAATAAAAAATGAAAATGATGGTTAAAAACTCTTCACATTTACAATATTCTAAGGTAGTGAAGAAAGTGATTCTTCACTGGCTATAAAAAATATGAAGTATCAAAAGGAATCATTAAAGCCAATTGTGCTTTACAGAATTTGATTAATATTCTTTAGCCACTTGTTAAATGTTCACGTATGCCTAAAATAAAAGTTTTTCATATTCTTGCTTATTCTTTTTTTTAATATTTATTTTTTAGTTGTAGTTGGACACAATACCTTTGTGTTATTTATTTATTTTTATGTGGTGCTGAGGATCAAACCCAGAGCCTTGCATGTGCTCTACTTCTGAGCCATAACCCCAGCCCATCTTGATTGATCTCTTTTTAAAAAGAAAGATAAACTGGCTTTGTAACAAAAATATTGAATAAAAAATTGTAAATGTAAAAGTGAAAAAATAACGTTTGCCCCAGCCCACTTTGTAGAGTTATTTTTCACCATCTTATATATTCTGTATGTTCACAAGTGATAGTTCTAAACATTTTAGTATATACACATTTTAGTATAAAACACATACAGGATATGGATATATATATATATATTTGTGCCTCCCAAAATACTGTTTGGTTGTTATTCTTTACTTAAAACATTTGAGGAATCTGTCCACACCCTTTCTTACATTTTTAGCAGCTAAATTTCATTATATTGGTAATGTGTAACTTATTTAAATAACTATTTGGGTTCTCAATTTGCTCTTAAAAAACAATAATGTAATAACCAACTTTGTAATCATCAGCAGCTTCATTATCTAAGACATCATGTCCTATCTCTCAGAAAGTGCACCACTGTCTCATTTAATAAAAATTCTTTCAGGAGTGTATCATTGCTATTCCTTTTTATTTGAGAAAATCTAGAATAAGAAAAATTAATTAATAAATCAAAAGTTTAAAAGTCAACATATGGGGCATTGCTCCTCCACACAGACCATATAAATAGCATTGAGTGACAATCAAAGGAGAATTCTAAAAGGTATAAAGAGGAAAGCACACTGGCCAGTGACTCCAGGTCTGGAGGAAGTGACCTCCCCCAAAGGAAGAAGATGTCCAAGTTCAACATTCTCCCACCTCAATCATGAAGCAGAAGGTAACTCTGGTAGGATTATATCTCCCTAGATGTAACAAGAATCCCATGGACAACACCAGATGATCCTATCAGCCCCAGAGACCTAACAAACACTACTTACATTAAACAGAGGGAGAAACAGTTCCCCATCCCCACCATGCCCAACACTGGAAAGGGAGGGCCTATCACAAGACCTAAATACCTACCTGTTAAATGACTTAAATTAGGCCCAAAGACTGCCAATATAAAAGCCAAAATGTTAAGGTACAATCAAAAATTGCACATCGCATTAAAGACAGGAAAATCACAATTTGAATGAGAAAATATAAGGAACACTAGCACTGAGATGGCTGAATCAGATGTTGAAATCATCTGACAAGGATTTTAAAGTAATCATAATAAAAATATCCCAACAAGCAATCACAAATACTCTTGAAACATCAACAACAACAACAACAACAAAATCTCAGCCAAAAAAAGTTAAAGGAAAACTAGAATAACAAATAAAAACTAACTGGATAGGCTCAAAGGGGAGGGTGGGGAAACCCTGTAAACTTGAACAGATCAAAAAACCCTCACAGATCAATAAAATAAAATAAAAAACAGAGAAAATCAACAACAAAAACAAGTCTTGGAGACCTTTGAGACAATAACAAATGATCAAACATTCATATCATCAGAGGAAGAGGAAGAAGAAGAGAAGAAGAAATGGGGCTAAAAGAGTATTAAAGAAATGATTGCTATAAACTTATAAATTTTGTATAAGACATAAACCTACAGATTTAAGAAAACAAGCAAATTCTAAACAGGATAGATCTAAAGAAATCCATGCTAAGATACATCTTAATTAAATTTCTAAACTTTAAAGACATAGGAGGAAAAAAATCTTGCAAGCATACTGAGAGAAAAGACACATTACCTATAGAGAACGTCAATTTAATAATAGTGGATTTCTCATCTGAAAACATTAAGGCCTAAAAGAAGCAGCACATTTTTCAAGTATTGGGGGAAAAACTAACCATCAAGCATGAATCTACCTCTCGTGAAATTGTGCTTCAGGAATTAAGAGGGATAGACTCTTAAATAAAGATTAAAAAAAAATGCGAGCTAAGGTGGAACTAGGGTTGTAGCTCAGTGGTAGTACACTCGCCTTGCATGTGTGAAGCACTGGGTTCAATCTTCAGCACGACATAAAAATAAATAAAATAAAATAAAGATATTGTATCCATCTACACCTAAAAAAAATTTTCTTAAAAAACAGCTAAGGGAAATTTTTCAAACAGAAAAGGAATGATAAAATAACGTTGAAGCCTTCCTTCTTCTCATGAAGTTTATAAATCTTATTTGATGGAGACAAAAATAATACCATATGACACTCAAGACAATATGTAAAAGTGGGAAGATAAACTAATGTAAATGGAAGCAAGGTTTCCAGACTTTACTTGAGGTACTAAAATGATGATGCCAATAGACTGTGATGAGTCTAGAGCACCAAGAAAATGAGACAAGGGCTGGGGTTGGGGCTCAGTGGTAGAGTGCTTGCCTCACATCTGTGAGGCACTGGGTTCAATTCACAGCACCACATATAAATGAATGAATAAACAAAAGGTCCATCAACAACTAAAATATATTTTTTAAAAAAATTAGACAAAGAGATGCTCAAAAACACTATAAGCAAATCAAGATGAAATCCTAAAAATAACATAATTCGCAGGAAACCTGAGAAACAAAAAACAATAATAAAATAAAAAGCACAAATATATCAAAATTATCTTATGTATAAATACATCACATTCTTAAAATGACACAATTGTGGAAATGAGCTATAGTTGTCACTAGTTAATGGGAAGAGGGAGCAGAGGTACAAGGGAGGTGGGTGAGTTTAAAAGGAAAATGTGAATGATCTTGGAGAGATGGACTATTCTGGACTGACTGTGATGGGGAACTGTCTATAATGATGACTGTGGTGGCAGACACTTGAAACATACAAAAAACTGCACAAAACTAAATGTGCACATACACACACTCAAGTACAAAACTAGGAAAATCTGAATAGGAATAGAGGATTGTATCGGTGTCAATAAACAGAGCTGGAACATTACACTGAATTTCTGTAAGATCTTTTTTTTAAGAGAGAGAAAGACAGATAGAGAGAGGGAGAATTTTTTAATATTTATTTTTTAGTTTTCGGCGGACACAACATCTTTGTTTGTATGTAGTGCTGAGGATGGAACCCGGGCTGCATGCATGCCAGGTGAGCGCGCTACCGCTTGAGCCACATCCCCAGCTCTCTCAAGATCTTATTAATGAATAAAATTGTAAAGTGTATACAGGATCACTCTGTTACTACTTCTTACAGCTATATATAAATCAACAATTATCTCAGTTTAAGTCATCATATACATTCACCTTATTAGTAATCAGGACAATTCACCTTAAATGCAATATTTCACTTAACTACTTGACAAACATTAAAAAACAATTTTTTAAAAAAGTATCAGCGTCATGACACAGGTCTAATGCAAATGTATG